AGAGGGTGGACCACCTGAAAACTTTCTTGGGTTCTTGGTGAGTGACCTCCATGATCCACACCACTCTCATCGGTTGAGCATTCTGATATGTGCATATGCGGCCAGCTGTGGCACCTTTTTTTCAGAATCCGAGTCGGCTTCAATGCCATGCCCTGTGTTTCACTCTTTACGGCTGTCTGGGCCAACAGATGTGGCCAAGACTCTGAGGTCTAAGAGAACGGCCCAGACGCCAAGTTTCCTCGGGTCCCGTCCTTGCGGTGACCCACGTGGCGTGGTAGAATATCGTTTTTCAAAATTGTGAGGGGCACGAGCAGCAAAGCTATGGACAGCCGAGCTATTGCGCCCATAAAAATGGAGGCTTACAGCCGCAGTTTGGGGGGCGACAGGACATGGGGAAAGGTGCATGCATAAACTTGCGCAATCGGGTTGTGCAAGAATCACGAACCAAGGTGCTGCAGTATTTTTTGTGCTCCAGCTGCGAACCTCGCCTCGGCGCACGTGTTTTCCGTGATGGCGCTCTTTGGCCTCTTGCTCATTTTCGCAGCTGTCGCAAGCGGGGAACCTGGCCTTCGGGGTGAAGCCACAAGCTGCATCCCGTCACAAGGATCATGCAACCCGGTGACGGACAGGTGTTGCCAGGGCCCAGGGTTGATGACCTGCAGGCTTCGCCCAAGCACAGCAAAAGGAGATGTGGGCCCAGCCTATGCTTGTGGTGAAGAATTCCCCAAGGAGACAAACACAAAGTGTGCAGCAGAGGGTCAGGAGTGCAGCACAGACGACCACTGTTGCAATATTGACCCCACTCTCAAGGTGAGTTGCAAACGCTTCGGCCTGAAGCGGAAGGTGTGCACAGCCAAGAAGAATGAGCTCACTGTTGAGCGTTGTTTGGCTGAGGGTGAAAGTTGCAACCCACTTGTGAACGGCTGTTGTCAAGAGGGCCCCCAAGGTGCAAGCCTCAGTTGTATATAGATTGTATAGTTGCATCTCTTTGATGCGGCAAAGTAAGTACGCGTTACCGTCACTCTTTCAGTGCATGACCGTCAGTTTCTCGGTTTGTGACCTTTTTCGTTGCTCGGTTTCTGATTCCCGACTTTACTGATGACTGAGGTGAAAAAGGCCTTCGAACTTGTCAGTTGAGGTTGCTGGCCCAGCCTGGGGCCCATGGAATGGCTTACTCTTGTGCCAAGGAAGAGGCCTAAGAGTCCTAGGATTCGCCTGCCTGTGAGATCTGGAACTGATTGTTTTTGACTTGATTTTTCTGGCCAGAGTCAGAAGGCGGTGGCTTACAGCATCGCCATTTTCTGGCCGCGAGCTTGTGCACTGTAATTCGTTCTTAGCCGCATTTTTTCCTGAACTCACATGCCCCCAAAGATTCATGAGAGACAACATCAGAATCAATTGAAGCAAGTCGCCATTGTTGAAGACATGGGGCGAAATGTTAAATCCCCTTTTGGAGCGGTGAGAACTAGATGGAACAGAGAACCATCAAATGCCCGGAGTGCGAAGCAAGAGTCTTCACAAAATCGAGCCATAACGGGCCGTGCCTCACTCTTCAGCCTGAAGAGCTGCTCATAGTTCCACCCAGTTGATTCCTTGCCTGGGCTCATATTGAACATTTTTGGCCGAACCACTCATGCGACAGTTCGATTTGCTGGCTTCATTTTGTTCCAATTGCATTTGCCTTGTGGTCTGGCCAGAAGTGTACACCTACTGTGGCCAGGGATAACGATTCACTCCAAAACCGAGCTCCATGGACCACAAGGTGTCCAATTTAATTTGGGAGGCGACTGCGCGTCTTCGCAGTCCCATCCAGGGTGCCAAAGCAGCTTGTCAACTGCGAAGCCGTGACTTCACAGTAAGGTGCTACGCAGCACTGGGCAGCGCGTACAAGCATGCCAAGGGTTGCGATGGCAGAGCCACGAGGTGTACTGAAGAAAAGGGCGTCACGACGTGTGGCAGCCTAGGACTGGTGAACGGATCCTTGTTATTGCGTGGTGAGAGCCCACATGCACGGGACTGCATGGGAAGATCTTTCTACATTCAAGAATTGCATTTCTGTTTGGCCGGAGTCCCTAGAGAGGCTGCAGACAACAGAAGGTACTAGTACTTCAAGAGCCACAGCAACAGTCTGTCAGCGCCAATCAGCATAGGAAGCTTGCAGATGGCTGGCCATTCAACAGAATATATAAATGAACAGGATGCTAGTTGATCAAACTTGTCAGCACTCGCAACTTCCAAGATGCGTACCAGTGAATGATTGATTCATGTGAGTAGTTGAGTAGTGCAGGTCTAGGTTTTTGCCCAATCCTTTACGGTGTCATCAGCAACCAACATGAGCCCCACCATGAACATGTGCAGAGCTGCTCTTAGAGTGTAGCTGCGCAGCTGGCATGTGAAGTGGGCTCCATTTTCACGCCTGGTCGGCTGGACCACCAGTTTTCGCCATGGATCAAGCTCGAGCAATGTGCACCCCTCAACTTGTACTTGGGATCGTGTGGATAGGAGGCCGACTGATCTGAGGCTCGATGCGCTTATGGGTCCTCAAAGAGATGTGGCCAAGAAGTCGAAGAAGGACCCGGCAGAAGACTGGAGGGATGACTCTGTGTGTAAGAGCCTCTCAGCCAAAATGCATCGCCGTTTTGTCGTTGCACTTTCGGGCCAAGCCTGGATGCACTTGCCATAAATAACGAAAACCAATGCGGCCACTCATTGGAGCTTCTAAAGATGCCTATCCTTCAGCGGTTGCTTCTCCGAGTATGAGGCTTCCTGGCAGGCTTTTGCCCCTTTGATCAGGCTGGGATGAGAGCAGGTTCTGTTGTTGTGCTTTATGCCGATTGAACACCGTGGCAGGATGTGCTGGGCGGGACGCGAAATATCAAGGCACTGCATACACTACACGCTTTGGGTGAGTTTGGCAAGGCTTCTGGACGTGCTGTCATCCGCAGGCTTGCCCCAAGATCCATTCAACTGTGATCCGAGAATGCTTCGACAAGCACCTAGAGGGTGCCCAAGACAGCCCCGCCTTTGCATTAATTTTTATATGTGTTTCCGTATCATGCATGAATTATCCATTGGCAGCATCCTTTGATGCCCCTTTTTGCAGGGGCATCATGCTGCTTGGCTCAATTGAGGCAATCTCCGCTACAGCTTTGAGGCTCAGGCCTTGAAGGACTGCGAGGATGTGCTGCTTCGGGCAGAGGAGCACAGTGCCAAGGAGGCAGGGCCATGTTTGACAAGTCAGCAGTACAGTCTGGTAGAGAGGACCCAGCAACATCATGCGAACATTCATCACTTCCGCTTTGCCAGATGCCTCTCCGTTGTGACAGATATTTCCAACATCTGAAAACATCAACACTTCATGTGAAAGATAGAGCACCTCATCTCCTGACCTCTCTCCACCTCATCCCATTTTTACCGTTGATCCAACTTCGTCGCACCCGAGCCGAGTCCTCGCAGGTCGAGCGCCTTCGCAGCGAGCTGCGGTCTACGAAGCCCAAGCTGCCGCCAGAGATCCTGGCGAAGCTGGAGGAGTTGCGGGCTGAGGCTGCGGACATCGAACGCCGCTGGGCGGACAAAGGTCGTAGATCGAAGTTCTGTCGGCATGTGACATGATGTTCTGCATACATGAACATATGCTATCATGTGCTTTTGCTTGTTGAAGCTTACTTCACCTGCAGCTTCAGCATAAAAACGGAGCATGATGTGCCAATGGAATTTGACGTCCACTTGTTTGCACCTGTCGACCCTGTGTTGTCATGAGTGTGATAGCCAAGGGCGTGCAGCGCTCCTCATGAAGGATGCTAAACAGGGTGGCGGTTACAAGAACCTCTCGCTCACATGGTCCAGAGCTGCGAAGGACTTCAACTTTGCCCGATGTAAGTGGTCCATCCCGAGCATGACCAAAGAACAGAAAAAGACCTTCGACCTCATGGTTTGGGAAATGCGCCCCCTTGGTGTGCTGTTTGAACGAGTGAAGCAGGAGAAGCTGGAGGAAGCTGAAGAGCTTGAGATCCATGGTCGCAAAACCTGTCGCAGATCTAGACTCCTTTCCAAACGGTTTTGCCCGTTTCCGTGTGCCATGCCCAATCTTCTTGTATGTACTGTAGAACTGCCAGACGTTCTTTGTGGAATTTGTATCAGCCATCTAGTGCAGGGGACAATGTGGCTCCAAGATTGTTCATAAGATCGGTCGGCCTTTGTCGTGAGCGACAGGGAGCATGACAAGAACCAGGTAAGGCCAGAAAAGGATTGAGGAGTTTGGTTCTTGATCCTTGTGAGGTCGAGGCGCCCCACCAACATGCAGAAACACGTTTTCTCCTGGTTCTCCATGCTCATAATTGGATGGAAACCCTCATAGTTCCAGTTCTATCCACATACTGCACGCTTTGTTCCAGGATTGTCTTATAAAAAGTGCCTGGCTTTTGAACTTGGGAAGGCCCGAATTTTAAGCAAAGCGCACTTCCAAGTCCATCAGGGTCAAGCCTCTTTACAATAAGGAGGAGGTAATTCATATTCATAAATAAATAGATAGATAGATAAGAACACACATCTCTCTCTCTCTCTATGTGTATATACATACGTGCAGCCCGTAAAGTATCATTTCGTCAAGGCGTTGACCTGCAGTGGATAGACGAGTTTCCTCAACTTTGCTCTACTCTACCAGAGACTGAGAACGCCTGCCCTTTTGTGACAGATGTTCCCTTTCAATCAGTTTGATCAGCTTTTCGTCTTTTTTTAAACATATCAAGCGCCAAACCTGCAGCCATCGCCAGTACCAAGGAAGATACTGATACTGGGACCAAACACGTGTCAGCCTTTCAAAAGCTACCGTTCGGGAGATCGTTCTGTCTTGTTGCGGTCTGCAGATGGACTGTCTGCCGTTCAATCCCCGACATGACCATTCTTCCTTTTGTCAATGCCTCCCACCACTACAGGTTCGGACATTTTCTGCAGGGCCCCATAGAGGCTTAATATTCAGGTAAGACTCAGCTTGGTTTCTTCTTTTTGCTGAAGTCGATGTGTTCAGCCAGATCGCCGCCATGTTTGGTTTGGGCTTTAGCCCTGTGGCCGGGGATGACTTTGGGGGCGCCGGGCCTTCGTGAAGTGCTCGAAGATCGGGTAGCCGCCAAAGACAATGCTGCTGGGCACAACCTCTTCTTTTTTCTGAGAATACGAACTGGATGCATCATTTGCATAGACCGACAACTGTTCTCAAGAAAATGTTGAGATTTGGGAGGGAGACTCATGCGGTTGATGGCCGCAGGAAGCCCTCAGAGTGTCCTGAGTATCCGGCACTTGCGCTGACTACATAGTTGTTTGAAGTTGTTCTAGAGGGTCAGCTCTTGATACCTGCTACCTCTTTGCAGTCATGTTGAGGGTGCTCTACACTTGCCAGCCGAGGTGAGCCGCCTTTTTTCCCAGTTAACCCTCTCGAGAGCCGCCTGCTACAAAGCAGCTGCCCGTGACTTGAAAAAACTATTGCGAAAGGCTCCTGAGAACTGCAAGGAGCACTTGATGAACTTCTATTGCGAGATTGTGGAGGATTTGGGGCTAACCTCGTGGTTCAAGAGAATTTTTGTGGGCAGTCCATCACGTTTTACTCTCATGTGGGTTAGATGTGAGGGGCAGTCAGAGAGGCATTGTCGTCACCCAGTCTTGGTTTCCACTGCTCCGAGAACTTCCAACCTTTTGATATCACCTTTCTCCAACGAGGACGCGCAGAGCTTCAACACTTGCGCCCAGCTCCAGGACAAGAAGGCTCAGCTGGAGTACTACGAATGCATTGCTCGGCCGGTATCCGCAGTGGATGGGATGCGCAAGCCCTTTTCATCACAATGTCCTCTTTCAGAGAGGAAGGGGGAGCATTGGGGATGGGAGGATTCGGATTGCCCATGAATCCATTTGGTGGGACATTCATGCCAGCTCACAAGATGGCAGGTTGCCCATTTAGTGAGTATTCAATATTCTGGTGGGGGATCCCCGTGGGGATGAACGGTGTACAATTCACATTTTAAAGTTGATCAGACCCAACTACAGCCCGCCAGGCAGTCCTGAACATGATTTCCATTTTTCAGCATTGCAATCAGTAGCATGGAATATTTCGAAGCCTCAACCTCTGGGCCTGCCACACGTGTCCAAAACGAGACTTCTGTGCAAACGGCCAGGACAACTGAGAAGGGTGTTCCTCTTCAGCTGCGCTCGGTGGGCTCCATACGTTTGGCCTTTTTGCTTTTGGCCCATCGCTCAGCGCTGAATGTCCAGCGGCTGCTCAGTCGCATCCACTCGCCCAACCATGAGTACCTGGTGCATGTGGATGTCAAGTCCCCGGAGGCTGTGGCAACGGGTGCTCAAAGCTTCAAAGCCATTTCTGTCGGATTTGTGTAAGATAAAGCCATTTCTGTTTGTACAACTGCATATCCTCTGATCCTCCTTCACAGTCACAAGAAAGATCAGAAAGAGACAGACAGTCCCAATTCACCCTGAAGGTGAAAGCTGAGATTGAGAAATCCAGCCTTGCACGCTGGGAGCGTTTAGAGATCTTCTCGGAGGTGAATGTCACACAAGGTGGCAACGACCTTTTGCAGATCAATATCCTCGGGCTCAAGCGCCTGTTGAAAACGCCTCGATGGGAATACATGGTGAAACTCAGTGAGTTTGACTACCCCGTTGCACCGCTCTACGCCTTGGAGCAATATTTGTGGGCAGCGCAGGATTTGAATTTTGTTGGCTTGGATTCTTGCTACAAGGGAACGTGCTCACGTCACATGGGCACAGCATGTGAAGGGCGAGCTTACAGCTTTCTTTCCACCTTACGCATGTACAAACCTTTGTCATACGGAATGAAGTTTGCACGTGGCAGTGAGTGGTTGGCATTGACTTGGGACTTCTCCCGCTACTTAATGAAAGAGCTCGAGAAGTTGCACTCTCCGATGCATGAGGTTTGGACAGATGCACTGTTGCTGTACCAGCCAGATGAGAGTTTTTTTCATACCGCCTTGCTCAACTCTCCCTTTTGCATGAGACATGTGAATCGACACTTGCACTACATTCCCACGATTTTGCCTGAGAAGATTTTGCACGGAAAGCAGGATGAGATTGGCACTCGAAGCCCTGCATTCTTGACTGCAGCTGACTATTCAGCCATTCTTGAAGAGAAAGCAGCTCGTCCAATCTTTTTTGCCAGGAAGTTGCAGGATGCGCCACACGAAGCGACCATGAGACTGTGCCGGAAACTGGACTCCAGATCTACTCAGGATGGGACATCTTGGGCGTTTCGCGAGATTGCATGGCCTGGCTTGCTGCAGTGGCTGGAGGAGCATTTGGAGAAATGGATGGCCTTGAAGAGGCCTAGCGGGTCTAGCAGCACATCCGACACCGAGCCTTCCGAATCCAACGGTTCTTGCCCGGACGAAGCAGCGCAACGCAACAGCTCGCTGCAGTGGCTGAAGCGGGAGCCCAGTTTGCCCAGAGACGGGGCGCAACGCACCGAGCAGCGCTTTACACCGGAGTCCTGGCACTTTGGGAACGCACAAAGTGCCACATATCGCCTGGTGGAGCGCTTGGCCACACCTAAGAGGGGCTTGGGCATGCCCGGTGCAGGGGGGTTTGGTATGAGCCTACTGGTTGCGAGGCTTGGAACAGCTTGGTTGGAGGAATCTGAGATTTTTGAGGGTCATGTGAGCATTGTGCCCTCCCGTGGAAAAATGCTGAGCTTCGTTACCTACTGGTCACCTCAGGTGCCTGATCCTGACTTGCCAGAGGTTTTGGTCGCTGGTCCGGGCAAGTCGTGTCAAGCACGGAAAAAGATGGAGGAGATTCACAAGTGGGGAACACCTTTGGTGCTTCAACTGGCCTGTGACCTCCCGCCTGGTCTGCACCGAGTGCAAGTGAAGCTGCGGAAGGACGGTGCAACTCAAGCAGTGGCTTGGCGCGACTTCTTGGTTTTCCAAGCCATGAGAGATGTCGGATTGGACCACATGAGGCGTTTCTTTGACCTCGAGGAGGTGCGTCCTGAGGTACTAAAACAGAGCGTGGCCATGCATCTCCAGAGGACCTGGGACTGGTCATAGGATGTGCAGTTTGTATCACTTCTCCATGTGTTTCTGGACCACTGGTGATGGTTTCCAAGTCTAAGGAGGGCCGAGCAAAAGAGAATCGCCGACAGCATCGAACCCAAATCCTGCGACATATGCAGCGGCCTTATGAGTTCCACGAGCTCGCCCCATTGGCCAGAGCTTGGCTTCTTAGATGCGACGCTTGTCATCTCACACCGGCAGGTGGCACGGTCTTTCTGGATGATGCAAAATTCCAGGCACATTTCCACTTTGACGTGCACGAAGGCGTGCATTTCACGGGGGGAGAGGCACTCAATAGCTTTCTCAAAGAGTCGACTCTTGAGTCTTGATTCTGTTTGGTGGCTGCGGGTTGGCATGCGTTAATTATGTTGGATGCTCGCAGGTTACAAGCAAGTGCGGCTTAGCTTCAAAGTAAAAGCCATGTAAGGCCCATGAGAAGCCAAGGCATCCTTCCTTTTGTTCTGAGGCGTGACCGGCATGCTCAACTGGAAGCTCGCCAGAAGCAACGAAGTACACAGACCAAGGACTGAAGCACCGCAGCCTTAGAAAGAAACATTGATCCTTTGAAAGATCCTGAATCCTGACTTGGTGCAACATTGCCTGTGGCCTATGGCCTACGATGTTAAAGGTGCTGAGCTCCGTATCCTGCGAGTGCGGTTCTAGGCTATAGACACTGTCAGGAGCGGAGCAAGGAGCCCAGCCGTAGTCGGCAGGCGGGGAGCACTATTCAATGTGCCAACAGAGCCTTTGACCAATGTAGTTCATGACCCGGGAATGCATTGATCAGGATGGAAGAGAAAGATATGTGGCTGAAGAAAGGGAAAGAAGGAGCTACTCTACTGACAAGCCGAGAAGGAATCTGGAGAGGAGAGATAGTCGGGATACAGGCATGGTCGGAGTTGCCAGCTGAGGAGGTTTCGTTGCGCAACATCCTGTTGATAGACATATATATATATACATATACATATACATATATATATATATATGTATATATTTATATAAATACAGTTTCAATGTTTGCAGGGGACCGTGGAAGCAGAACTGTGGCTTGGCCCAGATGTGGGACATTGGCGCACTGTGTCAAAGGCCAGAGGTTTCGAATCTGTTTGGGTCCTGCATGAGGTCCGGGAGCCTCGCCTTCGCAGCAGAGGCGTGGGAGGAGTCGTGGGCAAACTGCGAAGAGCAAAAGAGGAGCACGATCTTGGATGGCAGCAATCGGCAGCAAACAAGTGACCCAATGACGCTCATGATCTTGCAACAAGTTGCCAGAATGTTTCCAGCCATGGTGGAGTTATGCATCAAATAACTGAAGTTGGCAGGTCGTCGTGACTATGACCGTGACGAGGCGGACTCCTTTTCTCTTCAACCGAGGAGCTGAGACCGGTTTTTTTGTACCCCCTGCCAGGACCGTGGCCGCGATCGGCAGATGTCCCGTGGCAGATATGTCTCCCGCAGTCGCGTCTCTGCGAACCGAGACTCTCGCAGCCCGCGCCGCTACTCAGGCGGTGGACTGTGTCCATGTTTTTTGTTCATTTTTGGATGGCTCAGGTTGAGGCCTTCGGTTGAGATATGTTGAGATCTCCTTTCCAGTCTGAATATTTTGGCATTTTC